ACTCGCCCCCAGTCAGTTCGCCACTAGGCAGTCCGCCCCCAGGCAGTTCGTCACCAAGTAGCTCATCACCAAGGCGTCACCACCGGGTCAAACAACGAGGTACTTAGCCAAAAAATTTATACATCACAAAAAATGGTACGTGACCAAAAATGGTTACATCAGCAACTTTTCCCCAAGGTGGGAGATGGGTACCCAAGAAAATAAACTTTTTTTGGTCCCCCACATATATCTGAAAAAAGAACATGGGATTTTTTGTTAATGGGAATCAAAATTCCATTGACCAACTTTCCTCCCTCTCAAAATCCAGAAAAAGAACACCCCGTAAATAGATTCGCGATTATGTGGTAGGAACGGGTGCTCTGAAGAAATCTGGCTCAAAGGTCAAATTCTGTTAAAGATTTTAAGACGGGCACTCATATAGTGACCTCGTTGACATCCTTAAGGGCGGTAGCTAACATTGCACTTCCATCTGATACTGCATTCTGCATAGTCCCCAGAACCAAACTCTTCCCAATACATTGGAGAATGGTCCATCCTCTTTCTTCTTTTTGATCACATCAAGAACCAAGTATGTAGGTGAACTTGCTGCACTAGAGGCAGCTAATATGACTAATTGCTCAAGATGGACAATGATGCATATGATATAGCAGGGCATCCTTTTGTTGACCTTCGTACTCTTTACAAATATCGGTGGCTTTGTTCACCTGTATTCGGTCCCCCTTTTCTCCATTATTCAAATTGATCACCAAGTGTCATGTTTTGAAAATTTAATGAACAGTTAGGGTCATTTTTGTCTTTTAAGTAGATGTATATACAAATACAAGTAGTCAACCCAATTTTATATAATACGCGTGTACAAAAGCCCAGTACCCAATATTGGTCCTAGACAATACCAAAAGAAGAAAAAAAATTGGTCCTAGCGATCTGGGTATTTATTTCTTATGTGTTGAATTGTGTATCYATTGCTTCTGAAATGGTGCCTATTTTGATGAACTTTTCAAATAATAAAAATGGGGTAAATTTTTATTCCTAGACTACCCTCAATTTGGGATAAATTCTTGTATACTGTGAATAGTTAACCATCAACATAAGGACATATTATAAAAATAAAATTCTTGGCTGATTCTTGTGCTTTGGGAAGTAGATGAATAAATGCATTTGAAGTTGTATATAACTATATGTTGCTTCTAAATTTCTGGTTTTCATTTGGAATAATGAAAATATGTTCACTTAAAAGGATGCCCGGATGTTGTTACATTCATGCACAATTCATATCACCACAAGTAACCTACAGAATACCACTAACTTGGAACTAAAGCCATGACCTTCCCAACTTGAATCAATGGTTAATCTTCAGTTTGAAATTAACCATTGATGTTATTTCTCATGGGATATGGCTCTGCTGCTTCACTTATCCCAGATTCTATCCACAATTTTATCAACAAGGCTGAAGTAGTAATTGCCCCATGACCGTTTCATGGCTAAAACAAGAAAGGGTACCAGAAGACCTGCTGCAAAACCTGTACCAATGCCAGAGTAAAACCAGTTGCTGTTGACAATATTGCCCTCATTCCTCTCAACAGTTGTTTGTTGATTTGAATACTCACCTTCATCACACTTTACAGGAAGTGGATCACCACATAGACCTGGATTTCCAGTGTATGAGTACATGTCAAAAGTTGTCAACTGCCCCTTGTATGGAATTGAGCCTGATAAGTTGTTGTTTGACAAGTTGAGATAACTCAAGGAAGCCATGGTCGACATGATAGAAGGAATGGCACCAGAGAGCTGATTGTTTGAGACATCAAGAGATGACAATTCGTGTAAGCTTGCAATTGTTTCAGGAATTTTTCCAGTGAAATGGTTTCTTGACAAGTTCAAAACCATCAACCCTGATAGATTTGTTATTGATTCAGGGAAGTCTCCATATAAATTATTTTCAGACAGGTCAATGCAGGTTACAAGAGAAAGAGTTTTGCTGTATGTAAGGAGCAAGCCTTTCATGGACAAATCCAAGCTCTCCTCGTAGTATATGACGATGCCTCCGGCGCCTCCGTACAGCAAATACTGGTACATTGGCCATTGCTTTAAGATTTCCTAAGCTAGAAGGAATGCTGCCAACCAAATTGTTATCTGCAAGATCCAACACTTGCAGGGAACTCATATTGGAAAGTTGGGATGGAATTCTTCCAGAAAATGCATTTGATCTCAGCCGAAGAATTCTAAGAGCAAATAGACTTTCTCCAATCCAATGTGGAATTTTACCAAACAATTTGTTGTTTCCGAGATTCAGCGTCTCCAAGCTAGAGCAGTTTTGTAGAGATGAAGGGAGCTCCCCTGATATCCTATTACCACCAAGGTGCAAAGACTGAAGCATCTGCAATTGGCCCCATGACCAAGGAATTGGCCCAGATAAGTGATTTTCTCTAAGATCTAGGGCATTTAGATTAGAACAATTCCCTAAGCTTGCAGGGAGGTTTCCTGTTAAATTGTTTCTTGAAAGACTAAGGACCTCAAGCAGAAACATGTTTCCTATAGAGGTTGGGATATTGCCTGTTAGATGGTTATTTGAAAGAGAGAAAAATCAAGTTGGGAACTACAAAGCCAATGTCTGGGGGGATAGATCAGAGAATCGATTGTTAGAGAGATCCAGTGACACAATCTCCACTGCTGGAAGAGGTATGGGTCCTTCTAAGAGGTTGGAGCTGAAATCAACACCTACACCATGGATGAGGTTAAGTGGGTTT